CTGCGATTTTCCAGATTTCGGACTTTACGTGGGGAATTGGTTCTTGAATTACGAGAATATGATACATCTCTCTCACCGATCCTTTCTGGCTTGTATAAAAGAAGAGCATCCACTTTCTCTACGTGCACGGGTCAAAGTAAAATATCTGAAAGAAAAGAAAAGGCCACTCCAGGGAAGTTCTTTGATTTCCCGGATTTCGGATCTTATGAGAAGAGCATCTTTTTGTAATTAGACTACTTTCTTTCAGCGGGCTTTCTCGCATTGTAAAGAAGAAAAGCATACGCATTCTTCACCTTAGCGGGCTTTATAGATGAAAAAATTCAAGTGAGTGGCAAGGGCTACTTCATAGAATTTCTGTGATTTTCCGGATTTCGGATCTTATGAGAGGAGCGACTTTTTGTAAGGGGCCTACTTCCTCTCGATGAGCTTTTGCATTGCAAAAGAGAAAAGCGTACGCATTCTTTACTATGGCGGCTTTATAAATGAAAAAACTCAAGTGAGTGGCAAAGGCCATTTCTTAGAATTTCTGTGATTTTCCAGATTTCGGATCTTATGAGAAGAGCCACTTCTTGTAATTAGCCTACTTTCTCTCAATGGGCTTTTTTGCATTATGAAAAAAACAGCATATGCCCACTCTTCACTTCGGCGGAATTTAAAAATTGAAAAAAAAATTAAGTAGGTAGCAAGGACCACCTCGCTGAAGTTCAGTGATTTTCCTGATTTCGGACCTTGTGGGACAAAAACTTCTGGTAATGTGATTCGTTTTGCTTATCATGCCTTTCTGACTTGTAAGAAAGAAGATCATCCATATTATTCGCGCGCACGGGTAAAAATAAAATATGTGAAAGACAAGCAAATGCTACTTTACAGAAATTCAGTGTTTTTCCAGATTTCGGACCTTATGAGAAGAGCGACTTCTCTTTAGGAGCCTACTATCTCTCTGTGGGCTTTCTTGCATTGTGAAAAAAGAGCATGCGCCATCTTAGCTTCAGCTGGCTTTATATTAGGTCTGTGCATTAATTTCCACCGTTTTTCGGGTGCAAAAACATATTTATTACAAAACTAAAACCCCCTTACAGTAACCAATGTATTGCCCATCGCTAGCTACAACTTCTCGCCATCTTTCTGGTATCTTGTTGGCTCCGGTTCTAAAAAAGTCTTCATCTTTTGAATCAATACTGTTATCCACCCATTTTCGCACTTCTTCGGCACTCCGGAAGCGTATATCTGCCAAACTGACTTGCATGGACCGGAATAGGTAGCAGTCAGAGAGCGCAATATCTGGAGAGTATGCGGGCTGAACAAGCTGATCCCATTTAACAACTGCATTTTTATTTCAAGGACATTCTTTGCATAATGGGGTCCGGCATGTTTGTGGTGAAACAGCACCTCATGATATTTCCTGGAGTTTAGCGGCCGCTTTTAGGTGAGAGTATCCTACAAACTGTCAAGTTGATGTTTACAGCGGTCAGTAGTAACAGTTTCGTTAGGGCTCAGCAGCTCATAGCACATAACACCCTTCTGATCCCACCACCAAATGCACACACAGCATTACTTTTTGGCAATGAACATTCCGCTTTCGTTGCAAGCTCTCGAGTGAGGAGGAACCATCTCAGTAGGTCCGTTCGGATGAAGCCTGTCCTTCTTAGAAGCATCCGGTGGGCTTTACTGCCAGTTTTCTTGAAAACAAACAGCAGGGGAAGGGTCCCTCGGGAAAACGATTCATTACTCTCCATGACCAACCAGTTTGAGAGCAACAGGATTTTGGGGAAAAACTGATCTGTCTGCCCTTAAGTAGGTAGTCAATACCCTACCTTACAGAATATGACAGGTTTCACCGGTAAACCTCAAGCATGGTTCGCTCAAGACCCTTGGAATTCGGCGGAGGAAATTAATGCACACACCTAACAAATAAAAAAAATTAAAGTGAGTGGCAAAGGCTACTTCACGGAATTTCTGTAATTTTCCAGATTTTGGACTCTCTCTGTGGAATGAGTTTTCGGAATATTGTTCATTTTCCCTCTTCGGGCTTCCATGTAATAACAAAATAAAAGCATATACATTATTTACTCAAACGGGCTTAAGAAATGAATAAAGTCAAGTGAGTAGCAAAAGCCACTTCACTAATGTTCTGCGACTCCCCATAATTCGCACAACATGTAAACAGCGACTTCTTGAAATATAATTCATTTCCCTCATTGGGCCTTTCTGACTTGCAAAAAAAGAAGAGCGCCCCCATTCTTCACGTGCACGGGTCAACTTGAGATATCTGAAAGAAAAGCGAAAGCTACTTCACGTGCTTTCTGTTTTCCAGATTTCGGATCTTATGAGAAGAGCGACTTCTTTTAAGGAGCCTACTTCCTCTCGATGGGCTTTTGCATTGTGAAAAAAAAGCATAAGTATCCTTCACTTTAACGGGCTTTATAAATGAAAAAATTTAAGTGAGTAGCAAGGACCATTTCGCTTAAGTTCAGTGATTTTCCAGATTTCGGATTTACATGGGGAATGAGTTCTTGGAATACGATTCGTTTCCCTCAAAGGGCCTTTCGAAGTTGTAAAAAGAAGGCATCTACATCCTCCGCTGCAACGGATCAAAATAAAATATCTGAAAGAAAAGCAAAGGCCACATCACGGGAGTTCTGTGATTTCCCAGTTTTCGGAGTTTACGTGGGGGAGTGAGTTCTTGAAATATGATTCATTCCCTCATTGGGCCTTTCTGACTTGCAAAAAAGAAGAGCATCTACATTCTCCATTGCAACGGGTCAAATTAAAATATGTGAAAGAAAAGCAAAGGCTACTTCATGGAAGTTCTGTGATTTTCCAGATTTCGGACTTTATGGGGGGAATGAGTTCTTAGGACATGATTCATTTCCTTCACCGGGTCTTTCTGATGTGCAAAAAAGAAAAGTATACACATTCTTCACTGCACTTCACTGCAACGGGTTCAATGAATAAAAGATATAAATTATAGATGTCTTAAAGGTCGCTGGATAATAAACTCTTTCTGAGCTGCCACGCGGTAGCAGTAGGGCAGCAGTGTTTGGGCAAAGGCGATTGTTCAGATATTTAATCCTGACGAATTTCACTAATATTCATCCGGTTAATTGGTCTGACGTGCAAATATTGTCCTCGATATTGTCCAGTAGATGTTGCTGGTCGCTGAGAAGTGAACGATGGTCTACGAGATGAAACGGCAGTACAGAAGCTGGAGCTTCGCTGAAGCCGCCTTCTTTTATTCGGCCATTTGAGCTAGGGCAACATAATCTGAAAAATGCGGTTATTAGGGTAAACATAGAACCTATGTTTTGAAACAATGCTTTTATTCTAGCTAACCCTTTACACGATGAAGCCCTTATATTTGAGAAACTCCCTTCTTTCCCCTAAACCTACGGCAAACACGCAACTGTGAAGATCCCAACGGCGATAAGTCGGTCGGCGACCCACAGCAGTCGACGACTTCTTTGACACTGATTACAGTAGCATTTGTTACACTTCCGGGGCGAAAGAGTTGATATTGTCCGATTTAGAGGCCTCGAGCAGTTCGAACATCCTCAATAATGTTTCGTATTCTTTCTTTCGAGTTTGGTATAGTGCATAACGAACGATGATGGCCGTTATCTCTTGGAATGAATGAGTTCAATATAGTGTTTTCCACTATTCCACAATGCCAGCACTTCTTTCTCCTTTCAAGGCATTCCACGTGAGGATTTCACCTTCCCAAACAGTGGACACATCTGCCCTCTTGTCGAATGAGGTGGTATCGTTGATCGTCGTCGGGGAAATCGGAACAAGAATCAGAGTAGTGAATTCCTTGTCCCCTGCAGAAGGCACAAGTGATCCAATGAAAGGCGCTAGATGAAAACTCATCTATTCGACGAGTAGGGAGTAGGCGTAAATCATGCTCCAGGTCTTCGAGATCTTTAATTATATCCTGGATGGAGCGTTTTGGGTGGTGATCGTCCTATGTACCTTTCTCTTCGATGATATCCTGCTCTTCATCTTCTATAAAGTTTCCGCAAATCAACTTAAGTAGATGATCCTCATCCTCAAAGTTCTTGTGCGTTCGAGCCTTCTTGGTGTTTCCTCGATTGGCGTTCTGCCATGCGATGTTTTGTCTCCTTGTCATGAACGTGACGTTCACCTCCTCCTTTAACCGTTTTTGTTCCTTCCATTTCTTTCACACAGGAGTTCGGGTGTTCCATTCAAACGGTTGCCTTCGAAAACGGCATTTACCTTCGTGCAAGGAGTTCATCGTCTCGTTTATCTCAGACTCGATGATGCTTTCAACCTTTCGAACAGTTTTATCGGTCGTCATTATGACGTTATCCATTTCGACACTTTTTCTCGTCTTTTCTTCCTACCATTTTTCTGGAACTTGCTGCGAGATTCTTTTATATTGGCATAGTGTAGAATATATTGCGTCCAGGAGTACGAATCGTTGTGTGAGTCGTAGAATATTGCCCTTTGCTGTGGTAGCCGTTTTGAGAAATTGAATGTTGAGTAGGGCAAACCCTCCAGCGCTGGCGTCCGAACACATGGTGGTAAACAAACGTCGATACGTCCAGGATGCAACTAACTCCTCCGCCTCTTCGTATTGGTCATGAAGCTCTTGCTATGTCGTTCCCAGATCATTTTTCAGCTCGACCGTACTTGAATTTCGATGAATATTGGCAAGAAGTCTTTCAAGTAGATGCTTTCTTCTGTAATGATGCTGGAGTCTGAAGTAAAAGGTATATAATGGTAAATGGTAGAGCTAATATTGATGTTCAGTGTTGGTTTGAGTTATGTGCAGCTACGTACAAGGATTTTTGGGTCGTGGATGGTATTGCCGTCATTTTAGTGCTGCTTTTTGTGCATACTGGACCCTATGCGCACTACTTTCTTGATTCCTATGAAGGAAAGTTTGACTATTGTGCTGTTTGCTTTAACAGGATCCACCCCAAAACTCTAGCAACGCACGTAAGCAGAAAAAGATATGTTAAGCCAACAGTGGCTTAACATATCTTTTTTTGCTCCCAATCCCACCATGCCACCATGGCTGTTGCCAAGGTTTTGTACCACCGCAAAAATACTGACATAATATGTCTCAGATCAGGCTAGGAGCTTTTTGAATTGGATATTGACTCTCTCCTCAGCCATTGTTCTACAATTCTTTGAGCCGAAGCTGTGAATTTAAGGATACCGCTCATTTCAAATGAGGTGCTTGTCCCCATAAAGCAGAACAGTGAAGTTGGTTCCGTGCCTTGGAAAGGCTGAAGCGCAGTATTGAAGCGATCCCAGTGGTATTGCAAGATATTGAAGAGCGGAATCGCAAATGACTTTAGCTTGGATATTGTTTCGAGACGATCTGCAGAGGACCTTGGCTGAACTACTTTTCGGACAACTATGACATCCATTCAGTTCGCCGGTGGTGGCAGTATATATTGCATCTTCCGTCAGTATCTCAGTTTTTAACTTATCCTGGAATGACAATATGATTTCTGAAGCCACCATATTACTAATGGTTGCTTGAACTTTCGACTGCGGGGGCGATCGGAACGATATTGATGGGAACGCCACCGGTGATAGATTTCCGATTTCACTAAACCATGATGTATTGGAAGATCTTTGCATTTGCAGTTAGCTGTCGACTCTGCAGGCCAACACATGCAGTCCTCGAACACTTCGAATGCTAGTGTTTCTTCGTTACTGAAGGTTGCGCATCTCAAAGGTGGAATGATGTTATTCTTCGACAGAGGTGTGCCTTTTCTATTGGTTATGAACTGAGTGTTGAGCAAAGGTATAGGAGGTGTTCCAATGTTAGTGAGCGCAATAGTGAACGTCTTCCACTTGACGTGAACAATGGGTAGTAGCATTTTTGTAGCTGATGCGGACTTTCCGGTTACGTCATCAAAATGTGTTATTTTTATTTTGGCGGCTTCCGTCCATCTATTGCAGTGAAAAACCTCAAGCACTTCGGCACTGATGGGTTCTAAGTATATTCGATAAAACAAACATCCCGAGTTCAGGAAAAGCAGTCGCACCCCGGGCTACCACAGGATTCGACGCAGGCAGTGTTGCCTGGATATTGGTTCCCTTTGGCTAGTTCGGGAAGTGAGCTGGAGGCATTAACTGACGCACACTTGTCTCCTGTGCAAGATCCGCTGTGCGGGCAGCGTTTACTATCGACTACCTTATGAATTGCATCTCGAGTAAAGGAGTCTGTTGCCGGCTCGCAATACAGCAATAACGATTTCCACCGCATCCTTGTTTCGTGCACTACTGTACCATTCTGTGACAAGCGAGGCATGCTTCCAGCTTGGAAGAGCTGATTTTGAACACCTCTGAGAGGTGGACTCGACAGCTGTTGTGTGGTCCTTGTGTGTAGATAATGGAATGATGCGTAAAGAGATTGACTTTCTGGCACTGACGGGATAAACCCTTGAGGGCTATTGTTAATATTGCAATAATTTGGGCAGAACGCCTTCGAGAGAGGGTTTTTGGTCTACCCTCTAGGGATCGGAAACCTCTAATTACCCATCTGATTATTGTCCAAATTATGCAGCCAGCGAGTCTTATTGGATGGCCGAGAACTATTGGGACATAGAGGAAGACGTAACATCCTGGTATAAAGCAGTATAACATAATTGTTAATGTGAAACTAGCACTCTTTGTAAAGCATTCAGGATTGAGAATGTTTGCTGAACAAAGGGTGCATGAGATTGACTGGCAGAATGGGCCGGGTGGGCACACATGGCACCGACGATTTCATTGTCTGTGAACTTCTATTGTACTAAGTGCTCATAAAGTGCAACTTCTGGTGGGAATGATACGTTCTCGGTGGGCTGCGGTTCTCTGAACTGAACGCAGCATTGGTCCGTGCAAATTTGGTACGCATTTCTGGACGCAGGTATGAGCCACACTCTTCCTGGTGTACACTTTATAGATCGTGCTGACTGAGTTTCCGCTAGTACCTTGTTGGTGTTAAAGAGAGAAAGAGAATCATGGCAATTTGCAGAAGCGTAGAAATCGCAAACATACTGCGAGATTTCCCTGCTCTAGTGCGGCTAGATCGACGGTGCCCTCCGTGTAATCAAATGGTCTTCGTTTGCGAAGATTGTGCCGTGGGGCTGATTCCTGTTGCCCGTCCGCGGCATCGTATTGGGGCTGGGGTGTCCCTGATTATGAACATTCCTGTCCTTCTAGTTCGACTGGGTTTACGAGGTTGATTGGTCGCCAAATTAGCCGCTGAGAGGGTAAGCGTACAACAACTTCTTGTACAGTTCCGCGAGTGTTCGCTATTAATTGGTGAATCATGCCCTTCTTTCAGGAGTGACGAGGCAACATAGGATCATCTATCAAAACTACTGTTCCTTTCCCAGGTTGTTGTAAACTGCCCCTTTTCCTTCCGATATTGGAAGTGTGCTTTTCCTTAGGAGCTGTTGAGTATTCGGTTTGCCATGCGTTCCAGAACTTTTCCGTGATTTGACAGGATGCCTCTAATGCTTTAACGGCTTGTTTTTTTTTTGTTTGCAGAACCGCTAGCTCGGTAGGCGGAAGATACTCTGGGTCTTCTACATCTTCCGAGGCCTTTCCAATTAGGAGATGAACATAAATTTCCTTTTGAAAGAAGTCTATAGGCCGCCAAAATGAGGTCTTTATGGGGTTCTCTAGTTACGTAAGTCAGTGGGCGGGTATTGATTAAAGCGTCGATCTCAATCGAGATTGTCAGAAGTTCTTCGAAAGAGATATTGAACGGCCTATGGTCTTGAAGAAGCACCGTTTGATAGATCTTATGAGTCGTTCATAGAATCCCCCTTGCCAAGGAGCGAATAGCGTATTGTAATTCTACCCGATCTCCTTGTGGCTTAATTCACATGCGATATACGGGTCGTTGTGTGCGGCATGAAGGCAATCTTTCAAGATGGTCCCTAGTTCGAATGTCGGATCGTTATCACTAGTGATTGACTGAGGTACCCCATGTCTTGCGAAGAAACGGCGGAGCATATTGAGAAAGACCCTTATAATCATATCTGCGACGACATCGATGTGAACAAGTCGGTTGGTCATACAAGTAATTATTGCTCCATAGCATTTTGCCTGCTCCTCTGTTGCCGATGTTATTGAAAGGGGACCGAAATAGTCGAGACCTACATGTTGAAACGGGTACGAGCGGATGACTCGTTCTCTTGGTGAATTTTCTTGGGTTGGGTGTTTGTAGGATAGGTTATTGAACTTTCAGCATTTCCTTATTATTGCGCAAACCTGTGAGCATAGTTGGGGTATCCAGAACTCCTGTCGAACCATGGCTATTGTGTGGTTGACCCCCGGATGACCTCGTTGATGGACATGTCTTATTTTTATCTCAGCCAGGAGGGTTTTTTGGATAACAAAGACAGGATTCTTGGTGTCTTTGTCCAATTGTGCATGGCCAAGCCCTCCATAACAACGGAAGTTACCTTGTTCGTCTTGGTGGAAACTGACTTGTTGTAAAGAGTCGGTTACTTGCGGGGTAAAATGTACGGTTTGGTGAAGACGTAGTGATGTTAACCCTGCCTCTCGAATCTCAGGCGCAGTTAGGGGTCCTGCATTGTAAGGGAGATATTGACTGGTTATTGAGGGTAAAGCCAAACGTATATACATAGCCTTCTGGATTGATGCGTTTGGTAAGTGCGCGGAGAAAACGAAGAGCGTACGCCATAATTCGCTTGACGTGGGTCCATGTCCGCACTTGGCCGGTATAAGTATTTCTACGTCATTATTCTTCCTGGCGTTGATGGTGAGAATCTCATCCGATTCCTGCAGGTCTGAGGTACAAGCTACCGTATTTTCGAAAGGAAAATATAACATTTCCCCCTGACATGGCCAGTGGAAGGGTGAGTATTGAAGGAATAAAGGACTTCTCCACCATAGATGATTTTGTAACTCTTCTCTCGTTGTTCCCCGAGTGGCGCACTCTGCCGGGTTATCTTGCGATGCAATATATCCAATTCTGACCAGATATCGTTGCATCGTGATATAGTGGGCTATATTGCGTATTTCTGTTATGCGTCTATAAACAAATGGTCCTGCTTCGTGTTCTGGCTTTTTCCTGAGCCAAGTAGCTCTATGTTCAGTGAATTCGCAATTGCAAAGTCCCATGGCTAGCGTCGTGGCGTGACCCAACCCGGAGGGTCGTATATCGATGATATTGCACTCGTGATAGTTCTATTGGTCACATTTTGGGTGTCTGGGAAATGACAGGAGGCTAAATTTGTGTCGCTACAGTTGTCCCAGAGAATACCTAGTGCCTTCGGATGTGTTTCTATGGCTCTATCCTTTCCTGTTATTGTGTCTACCAGGAGATGGTTATTAGACGAAAACTCGCACAAGTTCATATTGATTTCCTAGAACATCCGTTTCGTCTTTCGGTACACATGTATTGCCATCATTGGAGCCAAAGGTGCAATGATGTGAAAAGTTGTACAACTTTCTTTTCCAAGACTGGCAACTGTAATCGTTGTGTCAAAGAACTGTCTATAAATTACAGCTCCGCTCCGGTATCGAATAGTACGCTCACTTTTGTTAATGTTTGGGTGGTTTTATCGATTATTGTCACTTTCCCTACTGGAAAAATTGGTGCCTTGTTGTTGGAAAATGAATATTTTTAATGACCGTATGGTGTTGGAGGATTACTGGTTTTCCCGATGTGTCATCTGACGGATTTCAGCAGCTATTGTTTTCCGTTGTAATGATGACGTGCGATCTTACCTTAGTTGAATTATTGCCATTATTGTCTCGTCCACTACCTTTTTGGTGGCTGGTGTCGCGGGACGGTGTGAGTCTCCCTGAGTATCGGTTGGTTTGGAGGAATAGGCGGGACTACCTTTGAAGCAGAAAGAGGTATGATGCGGTCTACCACATTGGGAACATCTTCGGCCTTGGCTTGTATTATGGGTTCCCGAAGCACATATCAAGCAAATGGTGAAACCGTTCTTAAGGAGTAGAATATTCATTACAGGCGTCGGAATAATGTGTGCCTTCGCAAAACATGCAAATGCGCCTTTAGTCGGATGTCCGATTCCCAAATTTTGGCCTGAGACATTGTTGCTAACTGTTGCTTCATGTTTCGCTTCCGTGAAGGTTAGCAGTAGCTCTTCCGTCAAAAGTGTCTCATCAATAAGCTGAAAGAATACGCTCATTGTAAAAGGGGGTTGTTGAAGCAATGCCCTGTTTTTTGCTTATCACCTTACATTTGAGCGTGTCAGGGAATTTGCAATGAACCTTCTTAATGAGGCATGAGTTGTTGACTTCCTCCCCCTTTTCCTCTTGTTGGGAGATGATCACTTGCAGCTCTTCCAGGAGACGGCGTTGGCCTCTTATGAATTGGCCCTGTAGAGAGCAAATGTTTCATTTTTCCACCAGTGCGTTCACTAAGACCTCCCTAATGCATATTTATTGTGTAAGAAGTGTACTGCTTTTCTGTAATTGTTCGCTGTAACTTAGAACTTTTTTCTTCAATCTCTGGCTTCACCTCTCAGGGAACTGAGGAGATAATTGAGCTTGGCCATTTCCGTCACGTCCTGGGAATGGATACTGGTATTGAATATACCCCAGAAAGCATCCCATTCCCAAATATTTCCTGCAAAGGTTGTTATGGGTATGGGTGGTAGTTCCAACGTCTTAACTTTGGCCTACCCAATTGGTGCGAATTGATTGGGTTCCCTTGAGGTTGATGTGAGAGAAGGTACCGAGAATCTTAGAGCGCGCAGTCGGGCTTGTAACATCAGTACATAATCAAACGCAGGCATGAGCGATTCGTCACGCCGTTAAGCGTATAGTCCTCAATTTCTTTCTCATCTCCGGTAAGCTCGGGGTTGTCACCCATGGAGGCTAATTGGTGAGGGGCTTTTTCTACCTTCCCATATTCCCCATAGAAGATTCGAGAACTGTGATGCCTTCCTCCAACCCATGAATATTTTCGGATTGTTTATCTCGAGGCAAGTCCGAGTTCAGAGGAATGAACTCGATTTTATTTCCCCTGAGATTCTTGAGAATATGCTCGAGTCTATTGACGTAGAGCGTCAAGAGGCGTTTTTGTTGGTGAAGAGACTAGCCATGAATGTTGAACTGGAGATATCGCCTCACGAAACAAAGTATCACAAAGTTAATGATTAACAGAGTGTCGCAATATTGTATGGGATATTGGTGGGGAGGTATAGAAGAGTGAATAAAGTCAAAGAGTATTAAGAAAGTAAGTAAAGAGAATGAAGAAGAGAAATGAGCGGTCGAAGAATATATTCCATATCCCAAAGTGACCGCTATAAGATTTTCTGATAGAGCAAAATTTAAGTTCAACCGACCTCAGTCCGTGAAGTCGCCGATGCACCAAATATAGTGTTCTCAAAGGTCGCTCGCCATTAATATTGCTGCCACGCGGTAGTATGAGAACGTCTGGGCATAGGCGGTTGTTCAGATATTTATTTCTGACGAATTTCACTGATATGGATTAGCAGGTTAAAGGCCCTGACGCGAGAATATTGCTCTTGAATATTGTCCAATAAATGTCGTAATTCGCTGCGAAGAGGACGGTGGCGAACGGGACGGAACGGTAGCACAGAAGCTGACGTTTTTTTTATGCGGCCGTTTGAGCTCGCGTAGTACAATATATAATAATAGCAATCGACGACTTCTCTGACACTGATCACGGTAGCCTTTGCTACATTATTATTATAAATATAGAATAGTAAATAAAACTCTCGCCTAAGTTTTTTACTACTCGACGGAGCTTGGCGTTGAACCCTTCATCATTTTTTAATTACTATTTACATAAATATCTGTATATAACTTATAGTTCAACGGCACGTCTGCATGTCTGGACGGCTAAGAGTAGGCCACCTTAGCTCCTTCAGATCCAGAGTGGCTATAACCACGATGGTGTAGACTCAGCACTGGCCCTGGCAAGGCAGCGTTGAGACTCTAAGGAGCAAGCTTGCTAAAACAACAATAAATTAACCTCAGGACCCCGCACACTGCGCTCAGCCGTCTCCGGCGTCGGACGGTATGGCGACCGGTGAGAGGCAGAGAAGTCTCGGGTTGTGCAGGACGCCTTGGGTTTCGGACCATGCCAGCACTCTTTCCACTCGACACGGAGACTGTTTCCTACTTTATACCTACAACGCGAGAACAGTCTCCTCCAGTGCCGCTCTCTAAGAGCTTTTCGTTGCGGCCAGTCACATTAAGTATCATGTTATTGCGCTGCAAGAAACCAAAAGCCGAAGGTCCGACGAACAACGAACGAACGATGGAATCCTCATCACTCGTGGTGTCGGCGGCGTTGGTTTCATCGAGCACCCATCTGTCGTCCATCTCGTCGATTCTCACAAAGTCCTGTCCCTTCGCTCGCCATCCTATGCCTACGGCAAACGCTTCTGAAGGCCATCTCTATCGTCAACTGCTATTCTCCACACTCTACATCTGACGGAGTAGAGATCTATGCGTTCTATGACCAACTTGAGGAGATCATATACAACAAAAGTCTTGGGGAAGTTCGCTGTTGGATATTTCAACGCTAGGCTTGGCGAAGCATAAGAGGAGGAGTTCAGGATTGGAAAGTCCTGAATGGACTGCAGGAACGAGAACGGAAAACGTCTAGCTAGACTCCTGTCCGCAGCTCGACTCTTCCATGGTAATACTTTCCTTCAGAAGAAGGAACATCACCGCTGGACGTGGGAGTCTACAAACGGTACAACTTATACTGAACTGGGCCACATATTAACAAATAGAAAGTGGTGCTTACTAGTTGTTGGTGTGGTACCATCTTTCTAAAGTGGTTTTGGTCATCGACTCCCCGCTAAGATCAGATTCAGTCACAAGCTGGAAACGAGCTTTCCACATCGCGCAAAGGCTCGAAGCATGCTGTATACGACGTAGATGTTCTGAATGACGTCTTGTCCCGATACGGCTGGCAGGTCTTGGATGATCAGACCGAAGACTATGACGCGCTGGTTAGGGGTCTCATCTCTTCTGCTGGAGAGGCCAAGCCACGAGTGAAGACCTCCGCTCGCATTTCAGATGCGACGAAGAATCTCACCAGGACAAGAAGAAAATTGAGGCTTGACCAGAATGCCACACACCCTGAAAGGCTGCAAGCGATTATCAGCTGCAGACAGACAGTACGGCGAGAACTTCAGCTATACAGGGAGAGGAGACTACTGGAGGCAGCCTTGAACAGAACTAGTCTGAGGAAATGTCATCGGAATCTTCAAGACCACAGTATTCCACTTTCGTGTTTGGAGAAGGAGGGCGGAACACTTTGATTTGAGATTTGATTTTTTCGAGATTTGAGATGAGACATCATACCGACCCACGACACACGTGCGAAAACCAAAAATCCCCACTGGCAGAAAAGCACGGTCCTTCCTTCAGAGGTGAGAGTTACGATTGCGAGCATGAAAAGGGGCACAGCTTCAGGGCCCCGACATGATCTCAGCCGATCTACTCCGTTCGGGTGGCTACGAACTTTAAGCGCTTATGCAACACACATGACATCCTACCTTTAGAAGTAGAAGATTCCCAATCAGTGGAGGAACTCGCGGATGGTCATTCTTCACTAGAAGAGAGACCGGAATGATTCCGCAACTACCGCCTGATGAGCTTGCTAAGCGTGCTTTACAAGCTGTTCACGAAGATCATTCTGATCCATATCGCGAACGTTGGATGAAGCTCAACCTGTAGAACAGGCCGAATTCCGGAAGGGATTCAGCTGCTTAGACCACATCCAAACAGTCGCAATGGTCATCGGAGTGTGCCGAGAATGTCCTTACTATTATTGGCCATGAAAAAGCTTTTGACAGCGTCGAAACGAATGCGGTCCTATCAGCACTGATCGATCAAGGAGTGGATCCCTCCCCTACATAGGAACGCTAGCTGACTGCAGTAGTCACTGAAGCGCGACGGTGAAGCTGTTCCAACGACATCTCCCCATTCCCATAGGAAGGGTATGAGACAAGGCGACACCATTTCGCCGAAGCTGTTCACAGCCGCGCTGCAGTGGGTTATGAAGTCGCTAGATTGGGAGGAAAAGGGCATTCGGGGATTGACGGTTCCTCTCAAATCCCGCCTTGCGACGACATCGTTCGCTTTTCAAGCTGCATTGCAGAAGGTAGGGCTGCGGATCAACCAAACAAAGACACAGTTCATGAAGAATGCTTGGGCTGAATGGTCAAATTGAGATCGATGGTGCATCATCAAAGAGACCTCGTCTTACGTGTATCTCGGGCGTTCCATGAATATGGACAAAAGGAGGAAAGAACTGGTGAGACGGCAGAAAGCAGCGTAGGCAGTCTTCGGACCTCTGAAAGTGGTCACCAACCATCTGGCTGGCCCTTAACTTGGCGCTGATCTGTTCGCTTCCACCTTTCTTCCTGCGCTCTGTTACTTATCGGAGAGTTGGGTGACCAGTGCACCCACGTCAAGAGCTTTGAGCACAAGTCACAGAGCGCTCGAGCGATGTCTTTGGGGTTCAATCGACTCACTCAATATCAAGCCGGGCTTCGCAGCTCCAGTATGCGCAGAACGTCTGAAATCATCCATCCGGTGGAATACATGAAGAACGCGAATTTTCGGTGGGCCGGTTACATAACCCTACTTACTATCCTCGTTATGTATGTTTGTTACGAGGTTCCATGCTCCTTTAGATGTGCCTGGAGAGACGGGTCATGCGGGGGATGGGTGGGTCATGTCCCGAGAAGTGTAGAGCACATATCAACCATCGCCCAAAGCGGGCTGGGCGTGGCATGCATCGAAATGAGCTGTACTGAGGACCATGATTTCAAAACTAGGGTGTAAAGGTGGCTAGAGGTGTGCATTAGTAAGCTAGATCGAACGAGGGAGACCCATCCCCAATAAGCGAGGCGTTCTCCAGAAATGCAATGCTTTAAGAAAACATTCATAACTCCGTTCGGTGAAAGCCAACAGAGCAGGAAAAAGTTGATGTAGGGGAAGCATTGTTGAAGGTGCGTTTCTTACAAGCCAGCATGGTTCAGCTCTAAGAAGCCATGAAAAGCTGGAAAAGGGTATAGAAATAGGAGAAGAAGGGAGGCCGACTGCCGATAGTGGGAGCGGCAGGCCCAAAAGGGGGCTTCGTCCACAATGGGCGATGTTTGAGCAGAAATTCATAATTCCTGTCCCCGTGGACCTAGAAAGTTCAAACTTGGTACACGTGATATAACACCGGTCCCCGTGGACCGAGAAAGTTCAAATTTGCTAGGATTACAAGGAACAGGATGCGAACACTTGTGGTGGATGACAGGACCGGGCCACTCCCACAAGGGGTTTGCGCGAAAAGTGTCAATTTTATCCTGGGGCGTTCAATCTCGGTAGGAGTACAGGCGACAGGATGGGAACACTCACGGCGGGTAGCAGGACTGGGCCACTCCCACAAGGGGCGGGGTTTGCGCGAAAAGTGTCAGTTTTATCCTAGGGCGCTCAATCTTGGTAGGAGTACAGGCGACAGGATGGGAACACTCATGGCGGGTAGCGGAACCGGACTCCGCCTACAATGGACTTGGTTTGAACAGAAATTCATAACACCTGTCCCCGTGGACTTAGAAAGTTCAAACATAGTAGGAGTACAGGCGACAGGATGGGAACACCTATGACAGGTGGCAGGAACGGACTCCTCCGCAGGGGGCAGGGTTTGTGCGAAATGAATGTTTGGGCGGAAAACCATAGTTCCAGTCCCCGTGGACCTAGAAATTTCAAATTTGCTAGGGTTAGAGGAAATAGGATGGGAACGCTTATGGTGAGTAGCAGAATCGGGCTCCGTTCAAATGGGCGGGGTTCGTGCGAAAATTATAAACTTGACCCTTGGAGGTTCAAACTTGGTGGGGGACGGGCGGATGGGAACACCTATGATAGGTGGCGGGACCGGAAAAAAATGCCTATGTGATATGCTAAGACGACGGAATCTATTCTAGCTCTGATTCGGTTTTGTATTCTCACTCAGCTAAACAGCGGATATAAACTTCATAGAGGGGGAAAGGATTTCTTCAATCCAGCATTTCTCGGGATAGTGTGTTTGCCACAAGAGAAGGAGAGCCCGGTGTTAGCCGGCGATTCGACTGGTGAGAAGAGATGATGACAGATGGACAAGAAGGACAGTCAAGTATGCTCCTGTAGGATCTTCACGTTCTAAGGATAGGCCTGCTGCGAGTTGGGAGGTGTGCTTGTCGATCACATGAAACAGCTGCGACGGCAGCTGAACGACTCATCCATTGCCATCATCGCCGAATTCTGAGTCTACCGTGGATGGCGTTCGCGAAAGACAGAAGCGAATGGTTTGTTGCTGGTGCTCGCACATAAGTGAAGACGAGCCATATAATTGTGTAAGTGTTTTTATCATGGGAGTCGGTATTTGGTTCCACGGTTCCACACTTCTAATTACTTCGCACCTTTCTCGCGAATCCACTAACTCGCCTGTGGGGTGACCTCTCTTAATTGGTTGGCTGTGACCTCTCTGGCAGTCTGAGCGAACTGATAATGATTCTATGGATTGGAAACTGTGTTATTATCATTACTGATATTATTATATTATTATTTGTTATTATTACACATTTTAAAATAATATGCAGTTGGGACAATAAAATGTAAAAATTCAAAATCTTTGTATTATAGGGAAACTATGAAGCATTATCGGTGACGTATCTAGACATTTTCCTGCAGAATTGCTCTGTTTCCTGCTCACCTGGTCCATTCTCCATCCACTTGGTCCCGATAGATTAGAACGTGATGCTTTCTTCCCTTGCTTACCTATCTGCCTTTCGCCATTTAGGTGTGCTCCGGATTTGAGGTAGCTGTAGCTGCCCCTAGGGTTTCTAAAAACGAAGGGTTTCGGTTGACAGAGCTCACAGTGCTTTCGGATGCTGAGGATAATATAAAAGGAATTCGGAACTACAGCACTCGAGGGAACAGAAAGGGAAGTTGCAAGGGGTGGAAGGGGTGCAGATACATGAAATAGAGGTGGTACAGTGTATTGTGGTAGGCTAGCTAAGTGCAGGGATCCGTAGGAATAAGAAGGAGCAACAGTAGCAGCTAATCCTGAGTTGAAGCCGAGAAAGCTCTGTAGTCGAACACAGAGTAGTACAAGTGAGACATCGTGCTCATGCGATGACAGGCACACTACAGAGGTGATTTATGATGCTTTCATTCACATATTTGAATACCTTCAAGTGACCTACTGGCGGTGTCCAAAGAAAGCGATAGAGGGTGTTAAAAAAGCTCGAAAGGTCACTTTGTCAACTAGTTTGCCTGCAGCCGCCTTGTGAGAATGACTGCTTAAGCGATGTGTTAAATCCTTTTCCCCATCCTATGATTTTTCCAATCTTACTTTATCCTCCACAGCTTTCTGTGTTGTTAAAGTGTTAAAGCATTAAAGTGTTGCATATTTATTTTTTTTTGTTGTGCCTTGTTTTTCATGCT